TCTTAGCATAGAGACGTGAAACACTGGATGAATAAAGGACAACTCAGGAGGAAGTGCCAAACGATAAGCCACAACTCCCACTCGGTCTAGTATCTCATACGGTCCTATAAACCTGGGGCTCAGCTTGCCTCTTTTCCCAAACCGCATCACACCTTTCATAGGAGAGACTCGTAGGAACACTTTGTCCCCAATTGTGAACACTAAATCTCTTCTTCTCTTATCAGCATAAGACTTTTGTCTACTTTGAGCTGCAAGCAATCTTTGTCTGATTAACTAGACCTTTTCCATAGCTTCTTGTACTAGGTCGGGTCCCAATAAGTTAGTCTCACCAGCTTCAAACCATCCGATAGGAGAACGACATCTTCTGCCATACAATGCTTCATACGGTGCCATTTGAATACTGGATTGGAAGCTATTGTTGTAAGCAAATTCAGCTAATGGTAGATAAGTGTCCCAACTACCTCCAAACTCAAGAATACAAGCTCTCAACATATCCTCCAAGATCTGAATAGTACGTTCAGACTGCCCGTCTGTCTGTGGATGAAATGAAGTACTAAGATCTACTCGTGTACCTAATGCTTCTTGAAAAGATTTCCAAAAGTGTGAAGTGAACTGTGATCCTCTATCAGAGATGATGGATACTGGAACTCCATGAAGTCGGACAATTTCGTTCATAAATATCTGTGCATACCTGACTCCACCATATGTAGTCTTCACGGGTAAAAAGTGTGCTGATTTCGTCAGTCGATCTACAATCACCCATACCGAGTCATAACCTCTAAGGGTTCGTGGTAGCCCGGTGACAAAATCTATTGTAATTCTTTCCCATTTCCATTCTGGAATCTCAATTTGTTGTAGTAGTCCTGCGGGTCGCTGATGCTCAGCCTTGACCTGCTGACAAGTCAAACAACTAGAAACAAAGTTAGCAACATCTTTCTTCATACCTTCCCACCAATAAAATTGTTTCAGGTCATGGTACATTTTTGTGGATCCAGGATGTATAGTGTATTTAGAGTTGTGGGCTTCTTCAAGAATAGCATGTCTCAATCCATCTACATCTGCTACACATAGCCTGTCACCCATTCGAAGAACACCATCACTTTCAACAATCATATCCTTGCTTTTACCAGCTAAGACCTCATCTCTGTATTTACATAATCGTTCATCCTCATATTGGGTGGCCTTAATGCGCTCAACCAATGAAGACTTAGCCTGAGCACAAGCCAACAATGCCTCTGAATTTTCGACACTAAATCTGATACCTGTATCTTCTAGTCTCTGAATATCTTTAGCTAAAAGTCTCCTTGCAGGGGCTATATGTGCCAAACTCCCCATAGATTTTCTACTCAATGCATCAGCCACCACATTGGCTTTTCCAGGATGATACAAAATAGAACAATCATAGTCTTTGAGTAGTTCCATCCAACGACGTAGCCGAAGATTTAGATCTCTCTGCTGAAAGATATACTTCAGACTTTTATGGTCAGTATAAATCTCACAAGTTTCGCTGTATAGATAATGTCTCCAAAGTTTTAGAGCAAATATTACTGCAGCCATCTCCAAATCATGTGTAGGATAGTTTTGCTCGTGCTTTTTCAATTGTCTCGAAGCATAAGCAATAATACAACCATTTTGTATGAGAACGCATCCTAATCTCACCCTCGAGGCGTCACAGAATACTGTAAATCCTCCAGAACCTGAGGGTAAGGCTAATATTGGTGCAGTTGTCAAACATGTTTTGAGTTTTTGAAAGTTATACTCACATTCCTCCGTCCACTGAAACTTTGCATTTTTCTGTGTTAGCTTGGTCAGCGGCGCTGCTATTCTGGAGAAATCCTGCACAAAACGGCTGTAATAGCCTGCCAAGCCTAAAAAGCTACGAATCTCTGTAGAAGAAGTAGGTCTGAGCCATTTCTGCACATCTTCAGTCTTCTTAGGATCTACCATAATTCCATCTTTGGATATAACATGTCCCAAAAATGCTACCGAGTCAAGCCAGAATTCGCACTTCGAAAATTTAGCATAAAGCTGATGTTCTCGTTAATGTCTGCAATACAATCCTGAGATGATTCTCGTGTTCTCCTTGGCTACGAGAATATATCAGGATATCATCAATAAATACTATTACAAAGCTATCCAAAAACGGCTTGAACACTCTATTCATTAAATCCATGAATGCAGCTGGAGCATTTGTTAGTCCGAAAGGCATCACAAGAAACTCATAGTGCCCGTATCGAGTTCTGAAAGCAGACTTAGAAATATCTTCATCTTTGATTCTAAGTTGATGATAACCAGAACGGAGGTCAATCTTTGAAAAGTGGACAGCTCCTTGTAACTGATCAAACATGTCATCTATACGAGGCAAAGGATATTTATTGTGTATTGTTATCTTGTTCAACTGCCTGTAGTCAATGCACATTCTCATGGATCCGTCTTTCTTCTTTACGAACAGTACTGGTGCACCCCATGGTGATACACTAGGTCTAATAAAACCCTTATCTAACAAATCGTGTAACTGTTGCTTTAGCTCCCTTAACTCTGTTGGTGCCATTCGATATGGGGGTATCGATATGGGCTGTGTGTCAGGTAGCAAATCAATACCAAAGTCTATTTCTCGTACTGGAGGCAATCCTGGTAAATCCTCAGGAAATACATCAGAAAATTCTCTCACTGCGGGTACATTTTCTATACTAACTATTTCCTTTCTTGTGTCATTTACAATAGCTAAGAGACCCAAGCAACCTTTCTTCAGAAGTCGTTGAGCCTTCATAAAAGATACAATTTTGCAAGTCTCTGGAACCTGACTCCCTCTTAGAATAAAACTGGGTTCATTTGGTATCTCAAACTTAACTATCTTTGCGTGACAATCGACTATAGCATATCAAGAAGATAGCCAATCCATTCCCATCAGCATGTCAAAGTCAATCATATCAAGTACAATAAGGTCAGCTAGAGTATCTCTACCCTCAACCCGAATCTGACAAGCACGATACATGTATTCAGCTAATAAAGACTCTCCAACAGGAGTAGCAACTAGAAAAGGATCATTCAATAGCTCGGGTTATCTACTAAATCTCAAAGCAAAGTATGAAGACACGTAGGAGTGGGTAGATCCCGGATCAATCAACGCAAGTGCATCAAATGAACAGACAGAAAGAATACCTGTAACCACTGCATTCGAGGCCTGAGCATCCTGTCTAGTAAATGCAAAAACTCTCGCCTGACCTCTACCAACATTGCCTTGTCCTTGATTCACAGTAGCACAGTCTCCAGCACCTCGACCTCTATTTCCTGTACCTGTAGCACCTGAAGTATTACGAGTAGTCTGAGTCGGTGCAGCTGACTGAATAGAAGCTTGGTTGAAATTTCTCGGAGGCTGAGGGCAATCCCTCAAGTGATGTCCCAACTGGCCACACCGAAAGCACTCTCTAGTTAGAACACGACATTGGCCCAAATGTGATCTACCACAAGTATGGCAGACTGGAGTAGTGGCATATATCTGCCCAGAATTATGATGTCCAGAAGATGATTGTCCCTTATTACCCTGTCTGTAAGGTGGTTTGTATGTGGACTGTGAAGACATATGTGTCCCTGTCTGAGAACCCTGTTGTTGTTGTTTTCCCTGATTTCCCGCTCTTCTATTTTCACTAAAACCACCACTGAAAGCCCCTCCTCTCTTGGCCTTCTTACGTAAATCATTAGCTGCACGCTCCTCACATCCCTTGTTTTCAATCTTTTTAGCAAGGTCGACTACATCAGAGTAGGATAAAGTCTTCATCTGTGGAGCTACTGCAGTGTATAGACGACCAACCAATCCATCAACAAACCTCTGAACTCGAGCTTCTTCGGTAGGCACTAAGTGAGGAGCATATATAGCCAGCTTACAGAACTTAGTGTTATATGTTGACACATCCATATCTGGAGTCTGAACCAATCTCTCAAAGTCTCTAGCATATTGTTGCATCAGACTGTCTGGAAGAAAATGATTCTTGAATAACTTAGTGAACTCGTCCCATGTTAGTGGTGGTGCTCCTGTTGGCCTTCCTAGCAATACCGTTTCATACCATGTGTTGGCCATATCCTCTAGTTTGTATGCTGCGAGCTCCACGACTCTCTCACTAGAACATCCAAGAGCACGTAATGCCTTGAGTGTCCTATCCAAGAAACTTTGAGGATCTGCTGAATTATAGGAACCTGTGAATTTTGGTGATTTCAATTTCAGGAACTCGTGTAGGGATACTTCCTTATTCCCGAAAGGCTGCGTCTGTGTAGGTGCTTGTGTCTGTAAAGTAGCCTGAGGAGCTGAACTTCCGCCCTGAGTAGGCACCAATGCCTCTAACACATTCAATAACCTTGCCACTACATCTGCAGGTAAGGCAACAGTAGGTACAACAGTTGGCACTAGTGGTGGAGCGTTCTGAACTCCCTGCCCTTACACTTGATCTGGCATAACAGCTTGGGTTTGACCCATGTTCCCTATTTGGGGTTGAGGAGCAGTCTGTCTTCTAGTTTTATGAACTCCAATTTGACCGCCACCCCGGGTAGCACCACGTCCAGCACCACGTCCAGCAGATGAAGGTGTGCGTGTCCTAGCCATCTGCGAAAGTAATATTCCAAAGTCAATCTCAAGTTATCTCAACGCACGATCAAAGAATGAAATAAGGGAAAACATTCCTAAATGTTCAGTAGCCTCGAGATCATAAGTATGGGCGCCTACATACCCATGAACAAGACTCTACTAAACATTGCTCCATGACTCGGGACTTAAAGCCTAAGCTCTGATACCAACTTTGTCACGACCCAATTTAGGATTGTGACCGGCGCTTAGGAGCAAGTGCTCCCAAGTAAGCCTCATCGGTAATTCTACAGAAAATCGGGCAGAGTTTCCCCTGTTTTTGGACCATCCCAAAAAAAAAATTCTATCTCAAATCAACAACCAAACATCCTAATATCATACCAAACAATTAACAACTTGTCAATTAACCAATACAAGTCTCCACCATAACTAAATCACCAACTAACCGCTAGAAATACTAATTTATCTCCAACTTTGATAAATGAGAACAATACTCAACATAAGACTATAATAACAAAAGAATACTCATGACACTAAAATACTAACTATGGAGCAACTCTAAGAGTTCAATGGAAAGACCATAACAGTAAATAAAATCTCTGCCCACGCGAACAAGTGCGAGGATCACCAAAATTTCTTAACCTGTGCGCTCTAATTAACGAGATCCTCGCCTGCGTCAGCTGCTGTCTCTGTAAAAAAATTTAGCGGGGAATGAGTCGCTAGCTCAGTGAGTCATAACACTTAACCACAACCGTTTTTATTTGGGGACAAGTCAGAAAACATGCTAGTATCTCAAACAGATAACATAAAAATGCCCTTTCAGAAACAATAAATAATTTTCAGTCTTATCATACTTTTCTTGTAGTATAATACAATTAACAGTTCAGTAATAAGTTCGGTAACCACTGTATAATATCAATATTCACATTTGGGAGGTTTCAATGGACGGATCATGTAATCGGTATAACTGTGGACTTCTTTGCAAGAAGTCAAATATAACGGTAGTCCCTACTCGAGAGAAGTCGGTAACAGTATGCTAGTTCTACCTTCCCACTAGCGAGGGCTATAACGGTAATCTGTAATTACAAGGTGCACCAGGTCTAACGAACCCGCCGTTAGCTACGGGATCCTTCAATGTCTACTCCCATTTACACTTGTCTCTGTAATCCGTATATACTCGTAGAAAATATTTTTAAACAATATAGGGCATTTCGGTATTTATCAAATCATGTAATTTCATTTCAGTAACGATAAATCTCATCTCAAGTAACAACAAAACGTATTCAGTAACAATGAGAATATTCAGAATAACTGTAATCATCTAAAATAAATATAGTAGTATCATATCGAGTAAATGACTTGTCCCACACGGAGATTCAAATCAGTCGGTAACATGTTCATATTAAAATCATATGTAAATCATGCTAGTTGTAGAAATACAAATTGAGGTAAGGTTACTACTCACAGTACTCGTGCCGAAATACCAATTGCTTCACCTCAAGCAACTCGTACAAATTCCTCCAATCAACCTATAATTACATAATATCGATCTCATGTTAATTTTTTTATTTAGGCTAATTCATAGTTATTTTAGAATACCCAACCCTCGAGGTTTCATGTTTGACTCTTAATTTGCCTAGAATAATTTTTATTGGTATTTAATTTCTTATACCTTGTGAAACCCTTCAGATACATGAATCGAGATAAAAAGAATTACCAGAAGAAAAGAACCCAGATGAGTAATTTGAGTATTACCCGTAAATACCAGTGCGTATTTAAGTTTTCTCAAGGCTTGGTTCCAGCCCTTTTTTCCTCTTCTTCTTCTCCTCCTTTTTGAAATTCGTTTTCTGCGTTCTAAAGCAGAACCCTTTTTCCGTTTTCCTTTCTTTCTTTATTTCTTTCGTTTTTAAGCGTATGATGTATTTGCCTTTCTTTATATTTTCTTTCTTTGTTTTCCCTCAGTGTACAATGGGCTTTTGCCCATTTAATTAGCTAGGTTTTTTTTTTAGTTTAAGTAACAGTAAATGACAAAAATACCCCAACTTGAATATGAAGTATTACATATTTATATATATATATAGATTCTTATTTTTCAATTTAATATGTTTATTACATTTATTTTACAGTGTAAAACTTGATTTGAACTACTTAAGAAAAGACATGGATTTGGATTAAAGATTATTTGTGTTATTTAATTTTTCACCTTTTTTCCATCAATTATTAAGGGGAAGTAGGTAAATCAGAATTTGAATTAATTTGTTTCCATTTTGATTTCAGTAATTAATCATCTCTTTGTTCTAAATTTGCCAAGTGACTTCTTAATAGCTAGCCACTTTGCTTAACCACAAAGCAAACTTTCTTGCTTTAATATATATATATATATAGATTCTTATTTTTCAATTTAATATGTTTATTACATTTATTTTTACAGTGTAAAACTTGGTTTGAACCACTTAAGAAAAGACGTGGATTTGGATTAAAGATTACTTGCGTTAATTAATTTTTCTCCTTCTTTCCATTAATTATTAAAGAGAAGTAGGTAAATCAAAATTTGAATTAATTTGTTTCCATTTTGATTTCAGTAATTAATCATCTCTTTGTTCTAAGTTTGCCAAGTGACTTCTTAATAGCTAGCCACTTTGCTTAACCACAAAGCAAACTTTCTTGCTTTAATATATATATATATATAGATTCTTATTTTTCAATTTAATATGTTTATTACATTTATTTTTACAGTGTAAAACTTGGTTTGAACTACTTAAAAAAAGACGTGGATTTGGATTAAAGATTACTTGCATTAATTAATTTTTCTCCTTCTTTCCATTTATTATTAAAGGGAAGTAGGTAAATCAAAATTTGAATTAATTTGTTTCCTTTTTNTAGCCACTTTGCTTAACCACAAAACAAACTTTCTTGCTTTAATATATATATATATATAGATTCTTATTTTTCATTTTAATATGTTTATTACATTTATTTTTACAGTGTAAAACTTGATTTGAACTACTTAAGAAAAGACGTGGATTTGGATTAAAGATTATTTGTGTTAATTAATTTTTCTCCTTCTTTCCATTAATTATTAAAGGGAAGTAGGTAAATCAGAATTTGAATTAATTTGTTTCCATTTTGATTTCAGTAATTAATCATCTCTTTGTTCTAAGTTTGCCAAGTGACTTCTTAATAGCTAGCCACTTTGCTTAACCACAAAACAAACTTTCTTGCTTTAATATATATATATATATAGATTCTTATTTTTCAATTTAATATGTTTATTACATTTATTTTTACAGTGTAAAACTTGGTTTGAACTACTTAAGAAAAGATGTGGATTTGGATTAAAGATTACTTGCGTTAATTAAATTTTCTCCTTCTTTCCATTAATTATTAAAGGGAAGTAGGTAAATCAAAATTTGAATTAATTTGTTTTCATTTTGATTTCAGTAATTAATCATCTCTTTGTTCTAAGTTTGCCAAGTGACTTCTTAATAGCTAGCCACTTTGCTTAACCACAAAACAAACTTTCTTGCTTTAATATATATATATATATAGATTCTTATTTTTCAATTTAATATGTTTATTACATTTATTTTTACAGTGTAAAACTTGGTTTGAACCACTTAAGAAAAGACGTGGATTTGGATTAAAGATTACTTGCGTTAATTAATTTTTCTCCTTCTTTCAATTAATTATTAAAGAGAAGTAGGTAAATCAAAATTTTAATTGATTTGTTTCCATTTTGATTTCAGTAATTAATTATCACTTTGTTCTAAGTTTGCCAAGTGGCTTCTTAATAGCTAGCCACTTAGATTAATCACAATGCAAATTTTCTTGCTTTAATATATATATAAATTAAAGCGAAGTAGGTAAATCAAAATTAGAATTAATTTGTTTCCATTTTGATTTCAGTAATTAATCATCTCTTTGTTCTAAGTTTGCCAAGTGGCTTCTTAATAGCTAGCCACTTTGCTTAACCACAATGCAAACTTTCTTGCTTTAATATATATATAAATATATAGATTCTTATTTTTCAATTTAATATGTTTATTACATTTATTTTTATAGTGTAAAACTTGGTTTGAACTACTTAAAAAAAGACGTGGATTTGGATTAAAGATTACTTGCGTTAATTAATTTTTCTCCTTCTTTCCATTTATTATTAAAGGGAAGTAGGTAAATCAAAATTTGAATTAATTTGTTTCCTTTTTTATTTCAGTAATTATTCATCTCTTTGTTCTAAGTTTGCCAAGTGGCTTCTTAATAGCTAGTCAGTTGGCATAACCACAATGCAAACTTTCTTGCTTTAATATCTAATTTTTCAATTTAATATATTTATTACATTTATTTTTACAGTGTAAAACTTGATTTGAGCTACTTAAGAAAAGACGTGGATTTGGATTAAAGATTACTTGCGTTAATTAATTTTTCTCCTTCTTTCCATTAATTATTAAAGGGAAGTAGGTAAATCAAAATTTGAATTAATTTGTATCCTTTTTTATTTCAGTAATTAATCATCTCTTTGTTCTAAGTTTGCCAAGTGGCTTCTTAATAGCTAGCCAGTTGGCATAACCACAATGCAAACTTTCTTGCTTTAATATATATATATATATATATATATATATATATATATAGATTCTTATTTTTCAATTTAATATATTGATTACATTTATTTTTACAGTGTAAAACTTGATTTGAGCTACTTAAGAAAAGACGTGGATTTGGATTAAAGATTACTTGCGTTAATTAATTTTTCTCCTACTTTCCATTAATTATTAAAGGGAAGTAGGTAAATCAAAATTTGAATTAATTTGTATCCTTTTTTATTTCAGTAATTAATCATCTCTTTGTTCTAAGTTTGCCAAGTGGCTTCTTAATAGCTAGCCAGTTGGCATAACCACAATGCTATATATATATAGATTATCAAAACATTGTGTTGTTCGGGTATTGAGCAAAAATATTTGTATGAGTAGTTGAATTTTGAATCCTCGTATTTGTATTAGTAGTTGAATTCATTCACAGGCTAATTTGAATTTTGTATTCAGGTATATTATTTTTAAAAGTTTATTCTTATTAATACGAGGATCATGTGCTATATTAAAAACATGAAGCCCCTTAGCAAAATATTGTTTGCCTTTTTTAACTTTTAAAAATAAGTTTCACACTAGACAAATTAGTCATTTAATGCTTTCCTAATATTTAGGAGTAATTTTTTTCTTATTTTAACTACCTTGTAAGAATTTTTATATAAGATTTTAAAATTTTTTGTATTTTACCTTATATTTTTTTCTCTTATTTGAAATAAGCAATATAAATATAATATTATTTGGAAATTTAGATGGGAGAGCATTTTCGCCTATGTTCTTCGATGAAATATCTATTTTTTTAAAATAACTCTTATGTAGTTATTTCTAATTTTGAAGCTTAATTTGGTAGGCTTTAGTGTTCCCTAATAAGGATGTAATATCAAGAAAATAAAAGACTATGAAAAATAGGCAAAGTTGTTTCTGACAAGAAAAATTCCATAAAAAATGATTCTTCGGCCTTTTGTCATTATATTTTAAATTTTTAACCACATAAGAACAATTTTTTCCCTCTATTTTTCTTTCATATAACCTATTCACTGTTAGTAAAACTCAATTTGCAAGTCTTTTTAAAAAAAAAATTTGATTGATAATTACTCATGACTATTCTTGAAATTTGATTCCATAAGTGTTTCAACGATATTTTTTAGATAATATCTATGATAATATCTATTATTAGGTTTACAAATTGGAGTTATTTTCATAAAATTAATTTGTAAGTGTTTCTTTAAATTGAAAGCTTAACTGATAATTTATATTCTTTCTTGCTTGGATTTTTGAAGATACTGTACCTCTTTCATCTTTATTTCAATACTCAAATAATTTATAATAAAATATTTATGTAATTTTTAATATTTTATACTTATTGAGATAGGATACACGCGCAACGTACGTATACGTACACTTAGACTAGTATATATATATATATATATATATATATATATATATATA